ATTACTCTGAAAACCTTAGAATTATGGTTGAAAACTTCCCTTATGCTCATCATTTTACTAAAGGGATAAAACATCTAAGTGTTTTATAAAATATAATGATCTTTTGATTGTATCAATCGCATAAGTTTTAATACTGTTTAAATCCTTTATATAAAATCACAAAATTCATTTGTGTCTTGCTTGTATTCTCCCCCTGAAAACGTTAAAAAAAACAGTAAAAGTGTAGGGGTATGAACTCACAGTTGGATGCGTGTATGTGCCGGACAACGAGACTGGAAATGAGGACCCTCGAGTTGTTGTACGCGAAGTTAACGAAATTCTAATAATAATTAAACACATATCTGTATTTAAATTAGCGAACCCATTAGTTAAAGTGTTAGAAAAACACTTGCTTTTGGTTAAGGAATGTTACCGAGACTCGATCGAAGTGGAAAAAGTGGGTTTTCAGCCAAGATTCACGATTTAGGGCTGATTGCGGCCGTGAACTGATTTCGACCCTTGAATGGTTTACGACCCTTGAATGGTTTACGACCCTTGAATGGTTTACGACCTGTTCTTGGTGAAAATATGAAGATTTGAAGGTTCATGGCCATAAACCCAAGAATGAAGAGTGCTTGATTTGATGAAATGATGAATGTTTGATGCTCCAAAAACAAGATCCAAGGTGGATTGGATGATTTTCGGAGGATAGATGAGAGAAATCTTGAGTTTTCGGCTGGTGGGTTTAGAGAGAGAAAGTAGTGTTTTCGGCCAGAATTGTAGAAATGAGGGTAAATATATATATTTATAGGCTGGGTTTACGGTTGGAGGTGGGGTCCCCAGGCCGTGAACGGTTTACGGCCGTAAACGTGTTTGCGGCGGTAAACACCGGGATGAACGAGACTTGGCTTATTTTCGTAGAAAAACTTGATTTTTCGCATGATTTTAGTCCCGACACTTATATAAATTTAATTTATATAATCTAAGTTGTTTTCAACCCTTACGAGTTTGACAAAATAAATAAAATTCGAAATTTTTATTTAGCGGAATTGACTTTTGATGACTGAAAAGGTTTGGGTTGTCACATTATGGCCTATGCATTCTAAGAGAAACCCCTAGCCGAAAATTATAGTGTTCCACCGTCTCTCACACTCATCCTTTGCTATTGGTGTTTGTGACTCCATTAGAGGTGCAACACTTGAGGCAGTAGAGCTTTCAAGAGTCAAGATCATCCAAGGAATACTTGTTATTACTAGATAACAAGCAAGGTAACATTCAAACCCTAGTTTTCATATTGATTTCGAAAATTGTATGCTAGTATTAGGGTTATTGCTTTGGAACTTCTATTTACATGTATAACTAGAGAAAAACTTAGATCCAAAGCAATTAGGGTTGCATGATCACATAGGAATGTTGTTGTGCTCAAAACCCATCATTTACACCAAAGTTCATAAGGAGTATTCTTACTCCTTTTATTTGGAGTTTTGTTCAAGATGTAACATGCAGTTAACATTGCCTCACCCCAAAACCCTTCACTTAATCCAGAATAGGACAACATGGAATTAACCATTTCTTTCAAAGTCATATTCTTCCTTTCAGCTACACCATTTTGTTGTGGTGTATAAGGAGCCGTGGTTTGATGTATTATTCCAGTTGATTCAAAATAAATTGGATCATAATACTCACCACCTCTATCAGTACACAAGACTTTTATTAATTAATTTTTATGAAGCTCAACTTGTTATTCATAAATTTTAAATTTATCAAGCACTTCATCCTTAGAATGTAGCAAATAGACATAACAATATCTAGATGCATCATCAATAAAAGTAACAACATGCTTTTTTGTTTCTAGGGGAAGGTGTTGCATGGAAATCACATAAATCACTATGTATAAGATCCAACACCTTGCTTTCCCTAACAACATCTTTGAAAGGTTGTCTAGTGATTTTAATTAGCATGCATGTTTTACATTTTTCATTATTTTGCATATCAAAAGCAGGGATTAAACTCATTTTAGACATGTCTTTTAATCTCTTGTAATGAATGTGTCATAGTCTAGCATGCCATAATTCATATTTATTAAATTATTGCTAGTACTAGTAGAATCCATGCAAACAAAATTATCAATAGAAGGATAATTAATAATAAGCCTAATCATTCCATTACATACATATCCAAATCCCATAAAAGAACCATGTCTTGACAAGATATACTTGTCACTTTCTAATACTTGTTTGTAACCACAATTATTTAATAAAATTTCAGACACAAGATTCTTACAGATCCCTGGAACATATAAAACATTGTTCAAACACAAACATTTCCCAAAAGTAAAGGTTAGTAAAACAGATCATAGTCCCTTGATTGGTTCAGTTACAACATTTCCCATCTTCACAACAGATCCATCTTCAATTGGTTGGAAGTCCTTGAACCAATATAGATCTTTGCAAACATGACTTGTTGCTCCCGAATCAACCCACCATGCAACATTATCATCATGCACATAAAATGCTTCAGAAATCACAGAAATATAATTCTGAATATATTTAGAATTCTGCATGAAAACAAAAATCTTACATTGTTGCTTTTCTGGCTCCTTGGGTCCACTTGGTCCAACACCATCCTTGTTCACTTTATGAAAACGACAATCTTTCTTAAAGTGACCCAATTTGTTACAATTCTAATACACCACTTTAGTCTTCTTGTTGGAAGACTTATCATCGTTTCCTTTAAACTTCCTTTTTCCATTAGATTTCTTTTGATTCTTTGATTCTTCTCCATCCACCATGTTCACAGTAGAGGAACCAACTTGATTCTTGCCTTTGGGATTGTTATCAAGTTCTTGAGTCCTTAAGGTCTCTTTAATCAGTAATTGGCTTCCAAGTTAAGTCAAAGTCAATTCCTCTTTGTTATGTTTCAGATTGTGTTTAAAATCCTTCCAGGAAGGGGGCAGTTTGTCAATGGCCACCACCACAGAAATGACTTCATCCATTTTCAGATTATGTTGAGCAAACTGTCCCAGAATCCTTAACATTTCATGGAATTGTTCCATCTGGAGTCAACCATCTTGTAACCCATAAAGTTACTGACAAGAAACTTCTTCCTAGAAGCATCTTCAGCCATGTACTTGGATTCAAGAGAATCCCAAAGTTCTTTTGCAGATTCGAAATTTTGATAGATATCAAACAGAGAGTCAGGCATACCATTGAGAATATGACCACGACATATTAATCATCGTTTTACCACTTTGACTCCTTCTTGTTGCCTCTAAAGGTTCATCTGCAACAGATTCTGGTAAGACTGACATGGGTGTACTCAGATTATACATCACTTTCAATGTGGTAAGGAGAAACTTCATCTTCTTCTGCCATCTATGAAAGTCTTGCCCTTCAAACTTGTTCAGTTTGTTAAACTTAATTGTCATTTCCTTCACAGAATCGCCACTTGTCATGATCACAGAAATACTTTAATCTTTGTTATAAATTCGGGGTAATAAAAGGTTTGGAAATTATGAGAATCGTGTGTACACTTTCAGATTAAAGTATTTGGGTGGTACTCTCAACCTTTAATCGGATAAGACTCAGAAGAGTTTCAAGAACAGAGAATATGAAGTTATGATTTTCGTGATTATTGTTGTACCAATAAAATTATGACCAAAAATGCTTAAGTACTTCCTTTGTCTGAAAACTGTCAAGACAGTTTTCTTTGTCCAAAACTATTCAAACTGTCAAAAAACAGTTTATAACAGTCATAAACTATCACTAAAATCGGATTATTAATAAGGGTCAAAGCATGTTTAACACCGAGCGTTTGGAAGCGTTTGTAAGCTTCTAGCATTTGACAAAAAGTTCTGTATTGAACAAAAACCCTATTTGACATTACAGGTTTTTGATGTTTAGTTTAAACCAAGGTTGTAAAAATCGCCCGGCGGTAGCTCGGCGGTCAACTGGGGTCAAGCGATTAATCGGTTTGGCGGGGATTAATCGAAGGATTAATCGGGGACCATAAATTACTAATAAAACTATTTTAAAACTTAATATATCCTAAGAAAAAAAATAGTATTTGAAAATTTCAAATTTAGAAATTTAGAAATTATGAAATATTTAGTATAATATTTGAAAATTTGAATATTTAAAAATTTGAAGTTTTGTAAATTTTGGTGTGATATTTGAAATTTTGAAAATTTGAATTTTTTGAAATCTTCCTGCCAAGGACCGCCGAGGACCGCCTAGCCCGAGTTTGACCGATATTGATTAATTTCCGCCAAACACCCCTAATCGTAATCAGTTGCAGACCGCCTAGCGCCTAGGCGGCCGCCTAGGCCGATATTTACAACACTGGTTTAAACAAAACGCTCCAAATCAAACATCTATTTTACATAGCATTTAACAAAACAATATCAGCTACCGGTTACCCCGCTACCTGTTAGTTTTGCCGAACACGTCCACTGTATTATTTTTTTGGGAACGAAAGATTAAAAATAATGATTATAATAGTCTTTTAGGGTTTTTATATAAAATAACCAAAAGTTTGAAAAATACCAAAAATAGCCATGTTTAAACACTCGGCTCATCCAGGAGAATGTAGAGTTTCCTAGTTGGCCAGTAATTTTTTTTTTTTTTTTTAAAACTTTAAACATTTATAACTTCTTTATATGAATTTTGTTTGTGTTTTATTTTTTTTCCATTGTTTTATTTGTAACAAGAGCTTTCAAGAGATATACTATTACATATACCTAAAAATCTCATCAAGTTGTTGGAAGTCTTTTTCTTGACTTGGCCTGCCGTTCAATAATCCTTATTTCTACAAATTTGATTTCAATCTCACCCACTTGTTTTTGGAAGAAAATGGGAGCAATGTTGGTTCGGTTGACTCGAAGTCAACCAAGAACTAAATTTCTTCTTTAAATAATCCAATCAGGCACCACATTCGACCACAGAAATTCACTTGGTTATGATTATTATATCCATCCTTATATTTTTCTTGCTTCAAAGCCTTTAATCACTGTCGTCGACAGAATGCAGCTCTTTCAAGTTTTGCATTTACTTTTCTTGATCTTCTTAACAAAAGCCGAGAAAATTAGCTTAAAAGGTTGCAACGATACATGTGGGAACGTCAAGATTCCATTCCCTTTCGGAATTGGAAGAAATTGTTCTCTGAACGAATGGTACAACGTTGATTGTAACTCCTCGACACCTTATCTGTCTGCACTCAACAACTCAGAGGTCTTGAGTGTAAATAAACACTATGGATACATGGGAGAGGTCACTGTTAAGGTCTCCATGACTTTTGATTGCGTGAGACCAGTGCAGCATAGTACTCCTGTCCTAAGCAATGAGAGTCCCTTTTCTATTTCCACTTCTGCTAACAACCTCTTCGTTGAGGGGTGTGGCATTAATGCTGACGTCATGGTGAATGGGACTACTGTTGCCAGTTGTTCAACGATTTGTCGAAATGGTACTGTGAGTGATAGAAACAAGTGCTTTGGCATTGGTTGTTGCCAAGCTACGATTGAGAATAGGACTGCTGATGAATGGTACGCATACTATAATCGTCCCACGAATATCAAGACGTTTAGGTTGAATGTAACAGGCTTGGAAGGGCAGGCTAGAAATGAAACATGTAGGTCTGCCTTCGTGATGAACAGTTCATACTTCAAAGCAGGCTTTCAAATTGACAGGGACAACACTTATGTTCCGATAACACTTTGGTGGTTTTCATTTGAAGATGACAGCAATAGTTCACCAGAATGCACAAAGTGTAAAAAGAAAAGAGGGTATTGTTACGTAAATCTTGACGCTGCAGCGGGTACAGGTTGTTATATTTTTAACAAAACCAAATTTGGTTTCATTCTGGGTAAGCTAGTCTCTAAACTACCATCTTCTTTGTCCGCGTTTTAATTCACTCCTACTTTCCGTTCAAATTTGTGTAGGTTAGACCTCTGTAAGAACTCATGGTAGTACAACAACTACTAGGAGTATAAGCCAGTTTATTCCTTATAAACGAGCGGTTATTAAAAAAAAAAACCCAATTTTCTTAAAATAATTTTCCGCTTTTAATTTTAATTATCTTTTTTATTTATGTCAGGCTTTCGTTTATTTTTTTTACTGATTTGTCTTTTATTTTCTTTTAATTTTATTTCTAACTTTTCTCTTACCTATTCTTTTCGATTAAATCAATTATTTTTCCATTTTTTAAAGATTTTTGCAACTCTTTCTTTAATTGGAATAAGTTTGAACTTTTATAAAAAAAAAATCAAATTTTATGGACGAATCCGAACTTAATTAATTTTTTTTTTAAAAAAACTCCGAATTGTCGGATTCCATCAAAGGTGATATTATAAATCCATGTCTCATTGAAAAATCCGATAAGAAATTGTTCGGTTTTAACCGAACATTGATAACCTAAAAACCGTTTTATATTTATGTATATATATTATTTAAAAATCCCATTATTTCTTGTTGTATCTAAAAAAATTTAATTTTTTTGTTGAATATATATATATATATATATATATAGATATATATATATAGATATATATATATATATATATATATATATAGATATATATATATATATATATATATATATAAAAGGGTTATTTGGAAAACAAAAAAACCCTAAAAATCATAAAAATGCATAAAAAAAATATCTAAAGATCAAAAAACTTTTTTTTGACATTTTTTTATGAAAAAATCGCAGGTTTTTAAAGAAATTCGCTGAAAAAAAATTTTGAAATTTTTTTTTTAATAAAAAAAATGATTTTTTATTTTTTTTTCAGCGAATTTTAATAAAAAGCTGCGATTTTTTATAAAACAAATTCAAAAAAAAGTTTTGTGATCTCTAAGTATTTTTTTTATGCATTTTTATGATTTTTAAGGTTTTTTTAGGGTTTTTTGTTTTCCATAGAACCTAAACCTATATATATATATATATATATATATATATATATATATCTATATATATATATATATATATATATATATTGAGATTCAATAGAGAACCATAATTAACAAGGAACCAAGGAACGAATCGTGAACGTCGGAAATCATAATGATCAACGGCCAATGAAATAGTTGTATACTTTTACATGAGACGCACACACACCGGATTATACCAAAAAAATCATATCCTTACCAAAAAGCTCACCTATTTTTTTATTTTAAAATTTTTTTTTAGGCCACATTTTTTTATCAAAAAAAAAACCGAATATACAGTTGTTCTCGATTTTTCGTTCTTTTTCCATAGAGATCTATGTTGATATATAAAAAAACGAAGTTTTTTTTCGAAAAAAACCCATTTCATTTTGTTAATTTTCAATATTTAAGTTTATTTTTATAAAAAAAAACTAATTATACCAAAAATATTAACTTTTTGTAGTCTACTAATAAACAACAACACCGACTAAAAAAAAACCTCGATCAGTGTAGATTCACACTGTAAATCTAAACTGTAAATATTTTAATTTTTAATATTCACAATGTGAAAAAACTCGATCAGTTCAGATTCACATTATGAATTTGACTTACTATTATACACTATGAATCTGAGAAGGTTCAAAATGTGAATCTGAACAGGTTCACAATATGAATCTGAACAGGTTCACAATGTAAATCTGAATTGAAATAACGTTTTTTTTAAAACATGGATATAAACTACGTTTAAAAAGTACAAAAAAATAGGAATTTTGATATATTTATTAATTTTTTTCTATAAAAAAATAAACTTTAACTTTTCAACAAAGAAAATGAAGTGAGTTTTTTCGAAAAAAAAATCGTTTTTTATATATTATCATGGATCTCTATAGAAAGAGCACAAAAAATCGTGAACAACGGTATATTCGTTTTTTTTTTTCGATAAAAAACATGGCCTAATAAAAATTTTAAACGAAAAAAAGGAAGTGACGTTTGTTATAATCCGGTGCATTTGCGTCCATTGTAAAAGCCTACAACTCTTTCTTTTGCCGTTGATCGCTTTAAATTTCGACGCTTTGGTTTTTGTTCCTTGATTAATAATAGTTCTCTTTCTCTCTCTCCCTCTATATATATATATATATATATATATATATATATATATATATATATATATATAAAAGTTACAAAAACGATATTTTAAAAAATAAAATATTATGTATGCAAGAAAAACTTTGTATAGAATTTACACCACTGTTTTTGCATGGTGCTGAAAACCTTTTATATATATATATATATATATATATATATATATATATATCTATATAAAAGTAAAAAAAGACAAAAAAAAAATATTTTTTATTGAGAGGTAGGTGATAAAACCACTAAAGGTTTTTGCATACATAATATTTTATTTTTAAAATATTGTTTTCTATAACTTATATATATATATATATAATATATATATATATATATATATATATATATATATAGTCAAGATCAAATAAGAAGGAAATTTTTGGTAGGAATGTAAGAAGTTTTTTTTCTACATATTTTTTTCGCGAACAAACAAAATGAATCATTAGATGATTCATTTGTAAGATGATTCATTTGTAAGATGATTCACAAGAAAAAATTTTCAAAAAAACATCTCGATGATTCATTTATATAATGATTTTGTTGTTATTCACTAAAATTGTCATAAAAATGAATTTTTTCTTAATTTACTTAAAAATGAATCATAAAGATGTTTTTTTGAGAATTTTTTCTTGTGAATCATCTTACAAATGAATCATTTAGTTATTCATTTATTTTGTTCGTCAAAAAAATATGTAGAAAAAAAGTTCTTACCTTCCTATCAAAAAAATTTTCTTACCGGATCTATATATATATATATATATATATATATATATATATATATGACTTTCTATACACTTAACGAATTATTTGTTAACAAAGTTTTGTAAATTGTATTGCAAAGTAAGAAAACCAATAATGGTTAAGTAACCAAAATTTCATTTGTTAAGTCTACTCATTAACCATTGTTAGCTAAACACAGATTTTTTAATATCAATCGGGATTCATGTACCAAAGGGCTTTTAGCCCAACGGTATCAGTTGTTGCCTTCCTTCTTTGAGGTCGAAGGTTCAAGTCCCGTCTGGGACGTAGGTGAAATTAGGAGTAGTTTAGGAGTAGAATGTAACATCCATAAAATTCATGAAAAATTTAAACTTTTAAATTAATTCAAAAATCACCATTGTTTACAAATAGTTTTCAAAACGAGATCAATATCAGAGTAATCCCAAAATCATGAAACAAAACATGAGGAGGTGCACGATCACGCCTTCACCTTCCCGCGATCATTTGAAGAACCTGAAACCATAAACAAAACTGTAAGCACAAATCTTAGTGAGTTCCCCCCAAAATACCAACACACAAGCAGATAACATATACAAATAACAGCATGTACTGGGCCCACATGTCATATACGGCCTGCTCTTGAGCCCACAACATAAGTCTGGCTTTCCCTCGGGGCCCACATCTTATGTCTGGCTTGCTCCAACCTAATCAGTCATCAGACTAGAATACCAAAGTTTAGCCCTCAGTACGAGTCTGGTATACCAACCGGGTCCTTAGCTCGTATCTGGAATCCTACTGAGCGCTTAGTATGTGTCTGACGTTCCCTACCCGGCCCTCAGCTCATATTTGGATTGCTCAAATACCCTCAAGCCCTTAGTACGAGTCTGGCATACCAATCAGGTCCTCATCTTGTATCTCGAATGCACCTGAACTCTCAGTATGAGTCTGGCATGCCCTAACCGTCCCTCAGCTCATATCTAGAATGCTTCGGGGTTTGTTGGCTATAGCACGAAGCAGTACAACCTCAACCCAACACAATATGCCGACAACTAATAAACAAACACAGGTAACCATGCAGACAGAATAACAAGTAGTCCTACTAATCTACCAGACTAGCATATCAAGACTTAGCAAGCATATATATATTCCATTCTCAGCATATCAACAATATCAGGTTATCAAACCAATAGGTCGGCCTTAGTGCCTTCGACCCGAGAGTATAGTGAGGAAAAATCACCTCCCACTACCGAATCATACAGACGATCCTTGGCTGCTGGCTGACAGATCCCCGAACCGCTAATATCAAGACGACGCCCCATCACAGCTGATCCCACAAATAATCTCTGATTGCAGATCCGCTAAGATCCTCACGCTATCAAATACCACAATGACAACCCATCAACATCTAGCCCCTGACTCACACTATGAGTCCAAATTAGGGTAAAAGACCTGTTTACCCTTCCTAAGCTTGGCCCAAAGCCAATGCCCAACTAGATGACCAAAGGCCTAAAATTCAAAACAAACATCTAAGGCCCAAATATGGCCCAATTTTCCAAATTGGGCCCAATTCCTTTCGTGAGCCTTCACTCAAGAAAGTCCAACAAAACAAAAGCCCAAACCATAAAATCCAGGTGGCCCATCATGACCCAAGATAATCCGAACCCAAAACCGAAGCCCAAAACAAAGAGGCCCAATACTGCCGCGTACTAGGGGCGTACTCCGGAGGTACGCTGAACGTACACGAGGTTGCACAGAATCCATCATCGGGGTGGTAGATTGGGTACACGGGGCGTACATCTCCGTACGTGGGGCGTACCCTCGCAAATCTCATTTTCTTCATAAGTGCTTAATAGCTTCAGCACTTAAGCTCACACTTCACATTCAAGGTCCAGAGGCATACTAGGGTCATAAAGTCTCCAACTTTATGACCTTACACGTCCATAAAGCTCTTAATGCAAGGTATTAATCCATTAAGACCTTCTACAAGAAGTATAGAGCCAAACTAGCTAAAGGGGCCTCATTTTTAAGGCTTAGAACCCCTCTTAGGGTCTGAAAGGACAGCCCAAAACGACAAAAACCAAAAAT